TGTGTGTGTGTGTGTGTGTGTGTGTGTGTGTGTGTGTGTGTGTGTGTGAAATCTGGCGTGCACAAGTTACATAATATACCTGTCTATAATTAAAAAGTGTCTGCTCTTACATAAGGCCCCCATTATTGAACACATTTCATTTACCCTTTGAATAAATGAGTCCCACATCACTTTGATGACCCAAAAACCACCTCCTCTTCCTCCTCATCATCATCATTCTCACACACACGCTCCGTCCTTTTACTTTGTGTGTGTGTGTGATATTTTTAGAGCAATGAGGTCTCATAATAAAGTAGCCTGATTCTCCCTGCTGATGGGGCTGAGACATGTGGTGGACGCTGTGAGGTGTTAATGATCTCAGTGAGATGGAAAACAAACATCCGACTCACCACACACACTATAAACGCAAACACACTCAGGACCTTCTGTATGCTGATTTGTAGGTTTATAACATTTTAAAAACCGGGCAAAATGTGCATTTTGGAATTTTAGAACATCTTCAAAAGAAAAAAAGATAAAGTTTTTCATCTGTTTAACTCTTAAAGTCAATTAGTTGCAGAGGTATGTCTCATTAAGAAGTGGGAAGGATTGAAGAATGTGCGGTGCGTTCACTGACCTGACAGACAGGGAGWACTCTCCAGGAGCTGATTCACTCTCCCGCACCAGGAACACTCCAGTTTCCTGCCAGCGCAGACGCTGCTCAGCCTCCAGCCTGGACACAGATCCTGCAAACCAGCTGCAGAGACACACAGAATCAGATACTGCTCCAGAACCACAGCACGTCAAGATAAAAACCTTTGATTTAATGACACAGGAGTGGGTGGCTTCTTATTAGGGGAAGCTAGGACCCCAAAAAAATCTAACTAAAGAATCAAAAACATTTTCTGTCAAACCATTTTTTACATGCTAAACATGTAAATTACATTCAAAATAAAAATGTACAAATATATATATTTATGTTTACGGTTGAGGGAGGAGGTAAAGGTAGTTCTCTGGCACATAGCCTCGCTTTCCCTGGACCTCAGCTGTGACCCAGCAGGAGTCATCTTCCATCTCTGTCACCTAAGACAAACACACACAGACACACACACTTACTGTATAAACAGTTACTTCACAAAAAGATACCCTTAAAGCCTTTCTATCTAACACTTACTTTGACAACGTCTCCCTTCTGCAAGCTGATCTCGTCTGGTTCTGAAGCTGTGAAAGAGAAAAGAGCCACAGCCTCCATGATGGACAGAGACAGGAGACAGTTTCACCTCATGAGACGAAAAGAGCTGAGAGGGAGGGAGAGAGGAGCTCAGCACACAGATTTGTGCGTGTGTGTGTGTGTGTGTGTGTGTGTGTGTGTGTGTGTGTGTGTGTGTG